GAACAATATTCCTAAATACGTCTGTTGGGGGAAATTGTAAGAAAATGCTTAATAATTTTTAGGCTTATATTTCTTTAGACCTTTTGTCGTAATAAGTGGCCTAATCTTTTCAAATCTTGATGCTACAGTAACACATTGCAGATGAAAAAAGGAAAATTGAAAGTGAAAACATCACTTGTTCTTATGGCCAAAAAGTGCTGTCAGATTAATGGAAGGAAAATTGAGGGACCAGGAGGGTCATGGCAGATGGAGGCTACTCAAAGTGCAACAGCTGAAGAAGTGAAGGTGGTAAATCTGATACTACATACTATTATTAGTTATTATCCTACACTACAGTAAATACAAGTTTTTGAAAGTCTTTTGTTCTCTTTTTACTCTTTTGTTGTTGATGAGAAAGCTGTACTTCATTTTCACCTGTTCTGGTTCTGATGAACATGTCTGCTAGGTAAATTAGATCAGAGCTGTAGTCCAAGATAATCCAGTAGAGTATGTAGTCATGTTGTAGCTCCTCAAAGCAGGCCCTGTTGGCATATAGAAAAGTTTTATTTATTTCACTTGTTAACGCCTCCATTTTTTGAGAAAACAACAATAGTGATTTTTGTCTAGGTTTAAACTTTAGGTATATTTTTGTTAAATCAGAGAAAATGGCATATCTACTAGGTTAACATTATCTGCAACAGTTAGGTAATGCCACTATACAAACATTAACAAGGAAGAAGATGCAAAGATGAATCTGCTGTTAGCTAATTCACCTGGCTATGATCATGGTCCAGTTATACATGACTGGTACTGTGATGATGAAAAGCCAGTTGTAATACAAATTCCCCGCAGGATTAACCACAAATATTTCCTTAGGCCTGTGAACAAACAGAGCAAAGGAAGAAATAATTTACCTGAATGAAGAAAGCAGTTTTTTCAGGGGAATTTTTCCAATTCATAACTTACTTGTCTTTGTCCTTTTCTTTTGCCTTTTCCTTTTCCTTCTCTTTCTCTTTCTCTTTTTCCTTTTCTTTCTCCTTTTCCTTTTCTTTCTCCTTCTCTTTTTCTTTCTCCTTTTGTTTTTCCTGTTCCTTTTCTTTTGCTTCCTTTTCTTCCTTCTCCTTTTTCTTTTTTCTGTCAATTTCATCATAACAAAGAGTGTTAAGTCTCAAGTATTCTTACACATTTTCTGCATTTTTCAAAAAGTTATGATGTAAAAATATTTACTCTTTCTTCTCCTTCTTCTCTTTCTTTTCCTTTTTCTTTTTTTGCTTCTTTTCTTTGTCTTCTCTAGAAAGAAAAGCATTTAACAGGCTTAATGAGCCCACCCAGTTCATGAAAGAAAAATTTGTGCCTCATATGTTTTTTATCATTGAAGACACTACTTACTCTTCATTGTTGTTGCTGTTATTCCTATTGACCAGAAGACTGGATTGAGGTGGACATCTGAAACAAACACAGCATGTAATTTTAATTAATGTAGAAATCACTTCTCTTGTTTTAGTTTCATACTTTGGATTGCATGTAAGACCTACAGGCTCTTTGAACTGTGGTGCAATAAAATAATTGAAGTATGACTTACAGGTCATCCTCACTTTGGTCTTCACTGTCAGTGGTTAGGCATTGTGCCGGCATGGTATTAATGGAAACAATTGTTGACATGGTAACCGTGGCCTTGACCTGCAGGGTCCAAACACATGAATGTACCTAATTAATAAGGATTTAAACAAAGTTTATTGTTACAAAACTCAACAATTGCTTTTTAAAGGCTTTAAAAAACTTAAATTATCCTAAATGCTAGAGAGATGAAGTAGTGTGCAAAGCTTATATTTCTCAGAAAATACAGGATCTGATATCATATAAAAAAAAGAGATCCAAAATAACATATCATTAAAATTACAACCATCAAATTTTTAAAGAATGTAAAGAAAGGCTGGTCTCTGTAGATAAAATTCTTGAATCTACATATAACACAGTAACATAAAGTAATGGACGAGCCATTGTGACCAACTGTTAAGTTGGAGGAACTAGCTATTATAGAAGAGAGGCAAGAACCTCAGAATGCCTGCTTGTTACATTACAAGCTTTACAGACATTCTGATTTTCATATCCAGATGTGGTACATGCCTACATCATCAGAATTACCAAAAGTTGGTGTAAAGTTTAAGTTTGACCAACAAACTCAACTAAGGAAGTAAATTATTTAAAATAATAATGTACTGAGTACATAGAAACTAACAGATTATATAGAGGCTTAACGATTCTGCTTTAAATATCCCTATTTATTGATTTTATTTCAAGTTCTAATTTTTAGACATGGCATGTGAGTTTTAATTATCTTTAAGTTGTGAGCATGAAAATACTGAGGCTAAAGACTTGACATTCTTTTCTTTAGAAAAAAATTATTTTCCCTTTCTGACACTTCTGAAATCCTAATAAAATACATTTAGATCTGCAGCTGTATAATAACAAAGGGTGAAATTGCTCAAGAGGTATGGATACTTTTGTAAAGCAGTGCACTATATGTATATATATATATATATATTTACATAGATATGTAAAACTTGGCCCCTAAATTACTTTGAAAAAACGAAAAAAATCCAAATAATTTGTCACTACAGTTTGGATTCGAAACGGCTGCTAACATGTTTAATTTTCTTATATTTTTTTTTATAATTTTGGATGTAGGAAATGTAGGATTCATTCATATTTCTTACCTTTTTTAGTCCTTAATTCATTAAGTCCATTACTGTTAATCCTTATTTCTTCCTTTTGACGCTAAGGCTAGTCAGCACAATTAAAAAGACAAATCACGCAAATGCATCTATTATTAGTATTAAAACATAACTAAAAAGCAGACACCTCTGAGCAACGAGTCTTAACAGTCACTGTGTCAGAGTGACCCTTACAAGGATTTGGGGATTAGAGCTGGGTGAGAAAAAGCAAGGCCGCATTAGTTTGTCCACTTGTCAATCAAGCTAAAAGAAAAATATATATGGCATATTGATGATTGAAAACCCCATAAACATTCCCCTGTCACTCCATGTTTTTTATCTGCAAATATATGTTATCATCCAGGCTATTTGCAGAATAGCATAGGAGTTAGTCTTCTTGGGATCTTTCACATACAAACACCTCTCCTGCTTGGTCAGCAATCTCAGTCATATCCTCCACTGATCCTATTAGATTAGAACCAGTGGGGGGATTTAATATCAGATGGATCTGCCCCCTTTAAATGCATGAGAGTCATGAGAGTGAAACTGAAGCTGAACCTCTGAGGAGGGTTTAAATTGGCTGTAAATGGTGCAATGGCTCTCCCTATTGGTGTATATGAATTTCGCAACTTCTTCACTTCTGCAAATATCTAAATTTAGATCATATTTGATGGGATTACTTGTACTTTATACCAGGCTTAACAGATTCACTTGATATGAGAATTTTGTCTTAGAAATCATGATAGATGATAAACAAGGCTGGTAATTTTTTTCTTTTTGTACATTAATGTTTATCCATTGGTGTTTTACAAGAAAATAAAGAAACAATGGTACACATAATTACTTTAAAAGCCTTACATTTGACCTTTAGGGGACAGAAGTGAAAATGCTTATATCTGCCTCTTTTTAAAAAGCCAATAGTTTTTATATATTTCATAGGGCATCCCACCATTAATTCAGGAGCTGAAAAGCATAGAAACAAATACTGTCTCTCCTTGTTCAGTTCTCACCCTGTAATAAAGTGAAAGGGTTCTCTGGTGGGCTTGTAGGCTCACCAGAGAGGTAACTCTGCAATCAGTTTACAAACAAGACCCTAAGCAAAAAATATTTCCTTTTACAAAGAGGGGTCACTAGTGCAAGGATTTAGTTATTGATTTGATAGGATAAAGTTTCCTGGTTTTGTTAAGGAGTCTAGTAACAGCTCATTTAATGAAAACCCACATATATATATATAC